GAGCTAAATCCCCTTTGAAAGTTATTCTACGTGTTCTACTGATGTCCTTGATCTCTCACGAAGACCTAAATGAACTCTCACACTATGTCCCCACCTCTGTCTACTAACTACACTCTTGACGGATTCTCATCAGAGGTAGGTTGCAGTCCCAACAGTTTCAGAGAAACCCCAAGCTGCTTCTGACCAACTGTTTTGTCCCTCTCACTCTTGGATTCTATGGTTTACAGCCTAAGCTGTATATAATTTGACTTTGGATGTGCTAGGTCTTTCCCCTGAAATATCCTACTCAGCTCGACAAACCCCTATTCATCCTTTAAAACTCAGCTCAAAGAACTCTAAGACTTAAGTTTCCCAAGTAGAGTTCATTTCTTCTAAGCATGCCCCAAATGCTTTACACATTCCTAATTACTACATAACTTCATGGGTGCTTTATTTTTTTATGTGTCTTTCTCTCTACACCACTATAAACCCCACGTAGGACAAAAGACCACAAGTCCTAACCCTATTTCTATACATAGTGCCTGATGCACAGGTTGTTAGTAAGTATTTTGGGAACTGAGTTATAGTACTACTTTAAAATACTGTATTGAAGCATAATCAGTTCTGCTATGTAACTCTAGTTCTGAAACTGTGAACTTATTCCAACATGACTGATGTATTAGGAAACAATGTAAGTATAATGCAAGTTCCTGAATTGTTTATGTGCTATTTTGTCTACAAAAAAACACTAGAGGAAAGGAGAACACTTACATCCAGCCGAACTGAGCTGTAGAGAAACACACAAAACACACTTTAAACACCTACCATCTAAATCAGTTTCCTGTTATGAGCCACACCCACTCACTTCTAGTATTGTGACTTTCCGTCTGATTTCTGGTGAACTCTTTCCATCATTTCAGTAACTTACAACAGCAACCCTTGCGACAGCTATCTGCACAAACACACCAGGTGTTTTTCAAGGTAAAGTACTACATGTACTATTGTATTTATATAAAAATGTGCTACCGAGTTTTTATCAGGTTGTTTTTTGGGGGTTTTTTTGGTACTGGGAATCAAACTCGGGACCTTGCGATTGCGAGGCAGGTGGCGGAACCACTGAGCTAAATCCCTGGCCCTTTATCAAGTTGTTTTAAAAACGTGTCACTGACAAATTTTTTTAGTTGTACCCCCAATTCCATTTTTTGCTAACACATGTGGTTTCCATTAAACAATTATGCGTAGCACAGGGGTTTTCAGGAAACTATAAGATGCTTTGTAGCAAAACTGACTGAAATAGCTTTATGAGCGTCATACAGTTTGAATAGTCCAATTCCAATAATTTATTGTAGAGAAAACTGTCTTTGTCAAAATTTCACGTTTACAGGCCATATCCTAACTAGCCATCAGGATATTCATAACCTTAGCGTGATAACTGTAACTTCTGGTGAACACATTGTTTCTCCAGCTCAATTCCCTAGTTTGCCTAAGTTTAAATGAGAAAAGAAGATCTCAAACCTCAACTTTCATGTGTGCCATTTTAAGGCTTTCACTGCTTTTAATCTCTTCTAAAACATACTGACATTTTAATTTTAAACGGCCCTGCACTATAGAGCAGTTAGAGATACCATATCCAAGGTAAGGCAGACTCGGAGCACTAACTCCTTATCTAAGACATGGCTTGATGTTTACATGTACAGCCTCTATCTACTCTACTCTCCACACTGATGCCTAAGTCCTCACCGAATCACTTTGCTCCCCTGCTGAGGATATCCTGGCCTCTTCCTTCACTATCAGGAGAAAGGTACAAACTTCACTTTTGGCTTACCAAGCCTGATTCTTCAAAATCTAGGCTACACACACTTTCTAAGTCCTTCTCAAGTCACTCCAGCTGTACCAGCAGCACCTTATCACTGGCCCTCCCTCAACACTGATACTTCCGTTGAAGCACAGCTGTGGTTCTTTTTCAAATGCCCATCTCCCCCAGTTTGGCAAGGTCTTATGCAGTGTTACTTTTTATAAACTGACTCCACATTCTCCTTAAATTTAGCTATTCGTTCTTCTGTTCTTCCACAACTAGTACAACTATTAATAAGCCTAGAAACTACAAGAAAGCAGAAACAGTACACCCATCTTTGAATTGTGTCCAACACAGAGGTCAGCATATGCTGACATATAACTTATCAAGAAAACGTAAACGGATGAGTGTGACAAAGCTCACAGAAGGTTAAAGTTAAGGTCGCCTAAATAAGCATCCATCTTAACATTCAAATAGCCCTTTCCTCTTACTTGTTCAAGTCAAGAATATGATGTGTTCCATTGTACTCTAATGCATATAGGCTATGTACACAGTACTAGAATTTATCTTATTCAGCATTTCTTAATTTTGCCTAGTGTTTTATTAAGCACATTTTGTTGCAAGATGGCTACCACCTTGAAGTGAGCAGCAGGTAAAGTTAAAGAAAAAGAGTAAATTAGTGAAAGTTCTGTAGAAGCTGGGGGATTTGAAAATTAAAATTTTCTTTTCCAGATACATAAAGGGCCAATCACAACACAAGTGTATACAGCATCGTACACTCACAAATTCAAGTCTTTTCTCCAGTAAAACACATGTTCTTAGATGAACGTGCTTTAAACAAGAGCTTCCCAAACAGTGAACAACCCTGCATGAGAGCACGGTACAAATGTACTCAAGACACTGACCTCTCACTTCCCAAGACTCTGAGAATACAGCTGTGAGCTGCCTTAACCATTTACTTCATAATGCCTTATATAGAGTATTACCTTCTCTTTAACTACAAGGAAAAAATGTATGCTTTGAAAAATATAAATAAGGCTAAATGGATACTGTGAAATGTCTAAGCATCAACCAAAATGCACATTTACAAATTTTAAGTACAGTGGGCAATTCCTACAATGTCTTCATTTTTAATGAGGACCACGTTCTATAATCCTAACTCGTTTCTGCTCATAAGAATCAGTCTGATATTTCTCAACAACTGTAGTTTTACTTTGCCAACAAAAATCCAAGAAACACAGAAACACTACAAATTGAATAGGGATTCAAAGGGAGCTTCTTTAGCTATATTTTTGTTAAACAAGACACATCTGAAGTTATCTTAGGAATGACTTTCAGAAAGCTCAGTCTCACAAGAAAATACTCCATCTTTTGTCAAATACTTGATTCTTCTTGTCATTTCAGTAAATATATTGTTCACCTACTGAGAACTGACCAGACAGGACTATCTTAAATAACTTCTATCCATTAAAACACCCCCAGAGAGAAAATCCTCAGCAATTATCACTGCTTTTTTGCACACAAAACCTGATCCTGTCCCTTATAACTGTAGTAACCTTGGGCAATGCACTTTTTCCCTTCTGGATCTGTTTCTTCATGTGCAGCTGTTCAATGATTTTGTTTAAAATAAGGCGACTGGATTAGATCACTGGTTTAAAAATATTAATTTAAAATTTATTCTAAATCATCTCACTTTAGAGTGCTGACAACTGTCTTAACAGCAATTACCAAAAAGTCTTCAAAACCATTTGATGATCAATGACCACAACAGCTACTACAGCCTACAAAACTTGTTCTCAAGTGGAGGTAAATAAATAGTACCACATTATGGAAACTACAAAGTGCCATTACGCTCCATTTTATTTTTCACTGATTCACTCGCCTCCTCTCCAAAGTTACATTTCCAGACACGTGTAGGCAAGAACATTCAGCGCTAGCAATAATGAGACAATCCACCTTGGAAACTGTTAAGCGCAGACCCTCAAATCCAGGCAGATTATTTCAACAGTCACCCTAGCACTGTAACGGCCAATCCAAGATGACCATTCACAACACTGGCATCTGCCTTAACAGCTAGAGAAGGCTGATGAGAGGTGTAGGTAGCAGGGTCTCTGCAGAAAGTAGAGGGAAAAAGTAAAAGAAAAATTTTTTAAGTTCCCAAAGAAAGTAATAACGTGTTGAAAAATGAAAAGGCAAGATGAGACTCAGGTTACTGGAGAAAACCGGTTCAAGTAAACAGTACTATCCCCGAGTCCTCAGCAATACCGTAAAATAAATCTCATCCGGTGCTACGTGTTCTTTGGCCATGCACTCCACCCGCCGTGCCCCGAAAATATCTGCCCTAAACGGAACCTAGACTCTTCCGGGGAGGGGCGGGCAGACGGCTTTCCCCAGCGGGCACCGGGCGCGGGAGGCGGAGCACGGGCAGAGAAGGGCCCGGGCCCCGCCCGCGCGGCCGCCCACGTCAATCACTCAATCACGCCCCGGGAGGCCCGGCGGGGGCGCGGCGGGGAGGGGCGCGATCGCGGCCGCGCGTGGGGGCGGGGAGCAGCTCGGCGGCCGCCGCCGCCGCCAAACTCGACCAAAGTTGCGGCGACGGGCGGCCGACCCGAGTTCCCAGGGCGCGGCCGGTGGGGGCCCCGGCTGCCTCGCTCACCTCGCTCGCCGCGCCGCCTTCCTCCTCCGCCGCCGCCGCCGCCGCCGCCTCCCTGTGAGCGCAGCGGGGTCTGACCTGTGGAACCACCATACCAGTCCCGCCTCAGCCGCCGCTCTTTGTTCCCCCTCCGGGCGCCACCGCCTCCGCGGCCCGCCCCAGCCGCCCGGCGGCCGCCACTACGCCCTCACGCCCGCTCGGCCCCGGCCTGGCTCTGCACTGAGCCCGCCGCCGCGTCGCCCCCGCGCCGCCGCCGCCGCAGCCACCGACGCCGCCGCCTCCTCCTCCGCGCCCCCCTCGTTTTCATTGAAAGCAAACAAGCATCATGGCGGCGCCGCCCCAGCCCGCGAGCGCCCGGGCCGCCGCCGCCGCGCCAATATCCCGGCCGCCCATTGGTCGCCGCCGCCGGGCGCCACCATCCCGCGCCCGGCGGGGGGAGACGCTCCGTAAGCCCGGACCCCCGGCTGGGGAGCAGTGGACCGCCCCGGCGCGCACGTCCCTCCCTCCCTCGCTCATTCTAGCTGGCGCTCGGCCGCTCCTGCGTTCTCCTCTTCCGAGTGCCCGGTGTCGCACCTGGCTCCTGCTTCGTTCCTGGCGGGTCCCTTGATGGCTTTCCTCCGTCCTTTTCCTGGGTATTACTCTCCTGTACGTCTCTCCTTTCCCCAGGCCTTCGCATGTCCTTCGCTCGGCAGCACACATCTATTGGCAGACTTTTAACCTTTGCCAGTATCTTGTTCTGCAGAAAGATGAACCAACAATTGAATAATTCTTCCTGCCTCAATCAGGCAGACAAAAGTAAATTAATGACCCTTCCCTGTCCACTAGTGGCAAATCAGCCCCGTACATTGAGGACAGTTATTGGTGGCATGGTTCCAGCCTGAATAACTGGTCAGAGATGTATTCAAAGGTCAAGACAAACTGGTGATTGCAGGTGTGCGGGGAAATGATTGGCCTGATCCATGATGTTTGCAACAGGAAATAGCTGGCTGGGAGTTTGGGCCGCGGTGAATCAGACCCTGCCCCTCCTTCTTGAGTAATCTCATAATCTAGGGGCCAGAGAAACTCCAGATTTAAAATCATTAAATGTCAGCTGAAGGGTATGGAATGAAGAAAAATAAATAGATGCACACGCTTCTAGCTGGTAAACTATGATGGACTACAGGCTCCTTCCTGGAAAATAAGCCCTGAAGAGATGAGAGTGAATCTGGTCCCAGGAACTAACAATAGCAAACAAAGGAGAAACGCATGCTCCTTGCTGAAGTCTGTCTTGGGCTAGACGGTGTGGGAAATGGGTGGCTGCTGCTTGGGATATAGGAGAATTGACAGTGTGATGAAAGGACCGAAGGGTGTATTAGTCACTCCCATTGCTGGAACAAAATAACCTGATACCTATACCTTAGGAGGAAAGGTTTGTTTTGGCTCACAGTTTCAGTGGACTCTGCCCGTAGTTGGCTGGCTCTAGTGGAGAAAGGGCATGGCTGAGGAAGGCTGCTCATGATGATGACTGTGAAGCAGAGAGAAAGGAAGAGTCAGGGACGAGAATACAGACTTCCAATTCACACCCCCAGTGACCTGCCCCTTCCATCCGGGTCTCACCTCCAAACATGAGACTTTTGGGGGACATTTTAGATCTAAACCATAAAAAGGACAGAAGCTTTTCAGAGATCCAGATGTTCTATTCAGGGCAAGAGTTACATGCTTGTCTGATCCTAGCACTGCCTTGAAATGGCCACTGGCTGTCATTCACCAAGAGAGCAGCAGTGGCAGGCCTTCAGTGCCAAAGGACATTGGACAAAGGCAAGGCAAGTCAAAAGTCTGGCACAAGCAGAGTTAGAACAATGCAGAAATAGCTGCCTCCCTGTAGATACTGCTTCATAATCTCGAACCTCCAAGCTACTGGAGTTGTACAGACCTTGTGCCATACAAAGTGTGCCAGGCTGAGGGGCCAGTGGGACAGACATCAAGCTGGGCTTCTCCAATTTGAGTGCTGGGCCCTGGAAGCCTGTCCTCCATCCTGGAGAAAAGGGTCCCTTTTTGTTATTCATTTGCCCAATGGGAGCTCTGTGTGCGTGTGTGTGTGCGTGCGTGTGTGTGTGTGTGTGTGTGTGTGTGTGTGTGTGATTGGCATGATGTACGTGGAGAAAAAGAAATTACTTCCATAAAAAAAAGCACTTGGCACTTTAAAGCAATAGTTTTATTATATCTTATGGTTCAGGTGTTCAGTAGGACAATTCTGTTGGTCTCACTTGTGGTCTCTCATGCCTGTGCCTCAGGTGGTGGCTGGATGGTGAATGTCTGTCATCTTGGCATCCCCTGGTGAGGCCTCTTTGTGTAGCACTTCATCCTCCTGCCTTTCTTGGTGGCCTTTCTCTCCAGCAGGAAGTTATCCTGGATTTCTCATTGTGACAAACTGCGCACATGAAACCACTTGGGACAGGGTTTGTGAGGAAAAAGATTTATTCCAGTGAACAGAGACTAAAATCGGGGGTAGATTTCAGCAGCTAGCTGAGAAAAGCCTTATCTGTTACATCAGTCTGTGGATGGCTGACAGCAAGAGATAAATATCAGCAGCTAACTGGGAAAGGAATTAGGCTTATTAGGTATTGAAAAGGGGGCTATGATCATAAGAAATGTTCATGACTGAGTGGCCAAGGAGGTCAGTGCAGGTGTGTAGACAGTCACTGGACTTCTCAGAGCTGGGGAGATTTTATATTCATCTGTCCTGTTTACTGAGAATAGCCTGCTGTTTGCTTTCCAAAGGTCTCATTTAGGCCATGCGTGACACTCACTGGCAACCCAGGGATCCAAGAGAAAGGAAGTGGAAGCTGCCAGGCCTTCTGAAGAATGTCACTCCTCTGTGTTCTATCCAGCAAAGCAATCACAAGCCCAGCCTAGATTCGAGATGAAAGGATGCAAGCTAGGGAAGAGACACATGCACGCAGAAGGAGTGATAGACTTGTTTGGAGTCATCTAGGTAAACTAGCTCCACAAAACTGCCAGGAGCCCCGGAAATGGGCAGTGTTGATCAGACTGAGTACAACAATAAAAACTCACAGGAGACCACCAAATGAGGCAGGTCCCGAGGCTTATTTGAAAAGACAAACTAAACTGCTGAGACCGGAGAGCTTGTGGTAGAAGACCCATAAATATTCTTCCAGGAGGAATGTGCTCAGAAGGTTAAGCCATATTAAGTGTTGTTTAGTGAGCTGGAAATACAGACCCTGTGGAGTTCTGTGAGTCCCCTCTAGAACTGGAGGCTTGGTGTCCAGGGGAATGGTATACAGCACTGAGCACCAGAATCCCTCACCCTGATGCAGTGCCAAGGGCACAGACATAGCCTGTCCATCAGCTCCCCTTCTCTGGGCTCAAGGCCTCCAGGCCAAAGTTTTCCACAGGGCCTGGTAGAATAGACAAATTTCAGGATCCAAACATATCTCCCCCATATTACCCTTTATCTCTGGATCCATTGTATTAGTCTTAAATTGATTGAAAATCCAACTGAAACAGCTTTAAAATACAGGAAAGTGAGCAAGAAAAAAAAGAAAATTAATTGGATCAAATAGCTTTAAAAGGGCAGGAAGAGTACATCAGCTTCACAAGGGGCTTGATCTGGGGACAATGCCACTTTTGGGTCTGCTCACCTCCATGGTCATGTTATCAGGTGTCATCTTGAAACACAGTGAGGCCAGCTTCTCTGAGGTACAAGCCCAGCAGGAGAGTGAGAGCTTCCCAAACAGGTGAACAGGCTTTCATTTCTGTCCGTGAACCAAACACGGTGGTCAGGAGACTGTCACACCCAGCCACGGAGAAGTCTTATGCCCAGTCTTTCAACCTTACCCAGAGACTCTTTGGAAGGAGTTATGGGGCAGAGAAATTGGAGGTGCTGTTATTGGAAGAGGAGGGACAGAAGCAGAAAGGCAGACAGAGGGCTGAGGTCCCCTCTCTGCCAAGCCTTCACATGCTCATGCACGGACAGCCTGCCGCTGCTTCTCCAGCTCCCTGTCTTCTTCCAGTTTCCCTCTGTATGTCGAGTCGGGAGAAAATGCCACAAGGGTACAGAGTGTGGGCCACAGAGGGGCTTCTGTTCAGAGCTCTGTCACACTCCCCGCAGACCGCCTTTAGCAGACTGACTGGAAAAGAAAGAACACCTAGTCTGTAACTGCTTGTGAGTATAGGTCACATTACTGAAGGTTACACCACCATGTTATTGTTGTAAAATAATTTACAGTCAGGATTTTAAAAAATAAAACTTAAAAAACAGCAAGGCATGAGGAAGAAAGTACAGTAATGTCTCATCCTTGTCCCTACCCCAGCCACACTCCCCAAAGACAAGCATTTGAATTGATTACAAGGCTTTGGCCTTAAAGGACAAAACAAAAAAGATAACTTCACACGTGCTCACTAGACAGCAGTGGTCACTCCCGAGACTAGATGTCTAAATTGAGGATGGCTTGACCCCATAGGTGCCCATCTAAGGTTGAATATGTGTGCCAAGAGGACAATTGTATTTTTAAACAGTGTTTTAATCAAAGAATTTCCCCAATATGTTCTCCTTTGACTAACACGCACTGTTTCAGATGAGTAAACCTCTAAACCATTGAGTCCCATTGTCCGTTCTGGGGGAAAACCCTCTAGACCGTGTTGGACACTCTGGTTCATAGTCTTGTCCTCCTTCCAGAGCTTGCTGGTGGTTGGGTGTGTAGTGTGAGAGGCAGAGGGAGGCGGGTGGCCCGCGGGCATCTGGCCTGAGCAGCTGGAAGGAGAATTGGTGTCCGTGCTGACGTGCAGCCGGTGGGGCTCGAGTTTGGTCTACCAGTTCCAAGGAAAGCCTGGCAGTCTTCCTGCTCAGATGTGGAAAGAGGCTAGCACCTAGGGAGAGGCTGATCATGGACGTTCCCCTGGCTGAAAAGCACTTTGTGTTTCCTCGCTACTTAGGGAATAATGAGGTGTTGGAGTGATAGCAGGAGGTTGAATTAGCAAGGGAGCCTGAAAGATGTTTATTATACAGATTGGCCTAAAAGAGTTTAGGGGGAAACAGGGCCTCTATTGGGCAGCTCTGTAATCCCAGCACTCTGATAGGCTGAGGCAGGAGGGTTGCAGATTTGAGCCCAGCTTGGGTAATTTAGCAATATAGTGAAACTCTGTCACAAAATAAAACAATAAAGATGGGCTGGGGATGTAGCTCAGCGTGAAGGCCCTGGGTCCAATCCCTAGTGCTGAAAAAAGAAAGAGTTTAGTGAAGGGTGACTTCGTACCATGGCAGATGACATGAGTCCTGTTAAGATTTCAAAAACTGACCTCGTTGGCCTGACCTTCCAGTCCTGTGGGAAGCCGTCGTAGGTGGGCTGAGGACATGCAGAGGGTCCCTGCATGTGAACTGCTGGCCCATGGGGCTGCTCTTATGCCTCCATGGGTGGTGGGCTGGTCCATAACTCCCAAGGGGAGCCTCAGTGGAGCTGAAAGCAAAAATCTGAAGACACAGAATGTGGGTCCTTCCAGAGACGTCCAGGGTTGGCGCTTCATCCAGGATTCCAGGTGAGTAAACGTTCCAGGCTTCTTTGTGCGTAACCTGGTTGATGGCCCATCTTCTAAGTTTGTTAGGCCTCATTTAGTTTCTAGACTAGAAACCTGATTCTAAGTAATTGAGCAGCAATGGGAACCTATTGGCTCAGAGAAATGCTAGGTGGTCTAATGGACCGATACAAAAAGTCTGTAATCCCAGCACTTGGGAGGCTGAGCTACGAGGATTACAAGTTCAAGGCCAGCCATTTAGAGACTTGATGGGACTCACCAGAAGATCATTTTATTTAATACTGCTTAGATGCACTAATGTTGCACATGCCTGTGATCCCAGCACTCGGGAGGCTGAGGCAGGAGGATCGCTGCAGGTTTGAGGCCAGCCTGGGCTGCATGGTGAGGTCAAGGCCAGCCTGAACTACACAGAGTGGCCCTGTTTCAAAAAACCAAAAATAAGGCCGAGGATGTAGCTCAGTGGTGCGGCCGCCTGCCTCGCAAGTGCAGGGTCCCAGGTTTGATCCCCGGTACCAAAAAATAAATAAAATAAAAAATAAATAAACAAATAAATAAAATCCACAAATATTGATATGTCACACTACTTAAAATATTTTGGTAACTATTTAAATATAACTAATTTCCTTTGTAATCCTATGTATTTTATTTTATGCTTTTAAAAATAATTGTTTGCTATTGGCAATACAATTTTTTTTGTACAGTAGTCTTGTATTCTGTCATTTACTGAACACCCTCCTAGTTTTAGTTGATTTTTTGGTACAGTATTTCGAATTTTCTAAGTCAGTGGTCCCCGGCCTCTTTGGCACCAGAGACTGATTTTGTGGAAGACAATTTTTCCACAGACCAGGTTGGGGGCTGGTTTCACGATGATTCAAGCACATTATATTTATGTGTACTTTATTACTGTTAATATTATGTTGTGATACACAATGAAGGAATAATACAACTCACCACAGTGCAGAATCACCAGGAGCCCTGAGCTTGGTTTCCTGGAAGTAAATGGTCCCATCTGGGGTGATGGGAGGTGGTGGCACCCACAGTGTGTTGCTTACGTCCAGTCTACTCCATATCTCGTTTTAGTTGCTGCCACTGCAGAAAACCCTGCAAAGATAGGACGTTGGAAACAGAAGCAGATTTTTCAGGGTTCTTGTGGCAATCTCAGGATATTCTGCCTTGACCTTAATCAGAACATATGGAGATTTGAAGTTGTCTCAAAAATACTTTTAAGGCCACCATTTCAGTATTTGCAATCTTAAGCAGTTGGTCTTCTAGCACAGACAAAGTAGATTCACCTGGCTTATTCACAAATGGATCATGAATCAATTCTTTCCCAGTTTGGGGGTCTTGTGTGGCCGGGAAGTAATGCTCAAACTCTCTTGAAAGCTGAGATAGGTGATCATGCAGCAGCTGGGAGAAAGAAGCCCCTGGCTCAGTTCCTTTTGAAATCTCTGCTAATGTTTGAAACGTGTCAGAAATCCCAGTGTTCACGCATTCCTCCCATGATTCCATTTTGGCTTTGAATGCAGCCACTTTATCTGCTGACTTGAACATTCTCCCCTGAAGTGACAGACTGAGTTTGTTGAGTAGGTTGAGTATGTCACATGAGTATGCAAGTTTTTCGATCCACTCTGTGTCACTGAAATGTGCTGTCAGTGGTGACTTTTGCTAAAAGAAATCTCTGAAGCAGCCCTCATAATTCAAAAACTCTGGCCAGAGCTCTGCATTTGGAAAGACATCTCACTTCTGTGTATAAGAGAAGACGTGCTCTGCATCTATCTCCTCACGGAATTGCGTGAGCAGATGTGAGTTACAGGTGTGCACTTCAATGTGGCAGATAATCTTAACTACATCCTGAGAAATGTTGTTACGTTCAGGTGACATTTTTTGTCTAGCCAGCATTTCTCTGTGGATGACACAGGGTGTAGGCTCACATTCAGAACCAACCTCTTTGACTCAGGTAGTGAAACCAGAAAGCCCTCCGGTCATGACAGCTACTTGGTCCTTGCATGTACCGACCTAGAAGAACCAGTTGTTTTCCTGATATGTGATCATTCAAAGACTTGAATAGGGCAGGGATATAGCTCCGTGGTTCCGCTGCCTGCCTCACAAGCGCAAGGACCTGAGTTCGATCCCTGGTACCAAGATGTAGCTCAGTGGTTCTGCTGCCTGCTTTGCAAGTGCAAGGTCCCAAGTTCGATCCCCAGTAACCCGCCCCCCCCAAAAAGACTTGAATAGTTGTGCAGCTGTGGTGTTGGTTGGCATAAAAGTGGACTGAACATATCCTCCTGCACATCATCCTGAAAAATAGATCGAACAAAAACTGGTATTTTTGCCCTGCTGTCAGCATTGGTGAACTCATCAACCTGGATTGTATTCCATGGTGACTTGTTAATCCTCTTGACAATTGTGCCTCAATATCCTCTGCATTTATCAACTCGTCTAGTTATGGTGCAAGCCAAGAGGAACATTTGCCATGCTTTGAACTACAGTCCACCCTAAAAGTTCATAGCAGACGTCCTTTGGGTCAGGCAGGATCAATTCCTCACCAAGACTCAGTGGCTTCTTGGCTTTATCAGGGTAGCTACTAAGAATGATGCTCTCAGTGCAAACATTCAATGAAGTTGTGGCCTTTAATAATTACTTCTGTTCTTTCTGTTTTCTTTTTTCTATTTTAAAAAAAAACCTCCAAAGGTTTGTCTTGTAGTGCAGGGTGCTTGGTTCCCAAGGGGAAAAAACAGTTTCAAAGGTTTCATGGCTTCGTTGGCTAGCCAGCTGCCACATATTGTACAAAGCAGGCTTGAAGAATGTGAATCACCTGATACAATGAACCCATAGATGAAATAGGACTCTTGGTATTTTATTTTAAGTGCATCGTTTTGTTGGCGATCTTGGATTCTGCTGTTTTCTCTTCACTTGGTCTTCTCCTGTTGTCGCAAAGAAGGTCTTCAGTGACATTTGTTTTCTGCTCATTTAGCTAAGGTTAGCTTGTAGGCTTCCCCAAAACTGTGACTGAGGCAAATGCAAGGTGCAGGAAACCGGCATGCACAGAAGTGGTAAATAAAATAATGGGTGGGACATGCAGTGGCCTGAGTTTTCTTTTGTCTGTATTCAATAAGTTTAAAGAGAGTGATCATTTCTGTGAAAGATTTTCTCACTTGTAGGCAGACAAAAGGAAAAGAACTTTCACTACAGCACTTTAAAACAAGACTTATTTTGGGCCATGAACTCTTGCCGGGTCTCTAAACCTCGGCACTGTTACCATCGGGGCTGGCTGAGTCTTTGTTATAAGGGCTGTCCTGTGCGTCAGGGGGTGTTTAGGCCTCTGTCAGATCCCACTAACATCCTCATCAATTGTTTCAACCCAAATTATCTTCAGACTTTGCCCACTGACCTCTGGGTCCAAAATCACCCCAGGTAAGAACCACCACACTATTTCAAGGGTTTGCACTCATGAATTCATTTAATCCTCACCACAAACTATGTGTTAATAGTATAGGTAGCACAAGGAGAGCTGGAAGACCCTTTCCCTCCACCCACTAGAGTGTGGGCAACACCCAAGACCGATCCTCCTTTTATTGTTTTGAAAGAAAGGGAAAATAAAATAGCAAAGACCCAGGAAATCTCTGCAGCTCCAGGCCAGAGCACATGTGAGTTAATTTCAGGGCCTGACGTTTAGCAACCTTTTCTCCTCTCTAACTGTGTTAACAGGTCATAAACACGGACTGCATCTCCTACGTATAATTTCACCATCGAGTGAACTCTTGGACACGCTGACTTGGTGCCCTACTGGTCATTCCTCTCAACCTTACCTAGAGACCCGACCAGAGGCACCCAGGCTGGGTCCACAGCTTTCCAAATCTGAAACCCTGATTTACTTGTGTGCTGTGCTGAGTTTTTTACTTTCTCGTTGTCCCAGAACCAACTTTCTATTGGTGCCACATTTTTGCCAACAGGCACCTTCCCCGAGCACATCTTCCTTCAATAAATGAAGCTGCTTTTTCTTTTACCGTTGGATGTAGGCTTGCAATTCTTTGCTGGTCACACACAAGAGCCCGGAGTCTGCCATTGGATCCACTATGTGGAATCAGTAGGTTCTGTTGTCATCCTCATTTTATAAGTAAGTGTCTGTAAGCAGAGTAAGTGTCTGTAAACAGAAGCCTGGTGAAGTTAGAAGTAATTTTCCAAGGTTACAGGGCTGTTAAATATCATTTATAATTGCCAACAAAACTAAAATAAACACCAGAACGCAGAATCAATTCAACAATTATGGAACGTGAATACAAAGGAATGTAGAACAAATTAACTGCTTGATTTATTTATGTTGAATAAGTCTCAAAAACATCACTGAGAGGAAAACAGCAAGTTGCAGAGACTTTGGTTGAGGACAAAATATGCAACAGCACTCGTAATCTCTCTGAAGATTTAGAGTAGAATTTTCCTTTCCAATTTCCTTTCCATTTCCAGAATTGCCCTGTGTCTGTGGGAGTCATGGTTTGAATCTCTTTCTTGTTCTTCCCCTCCCAGGGAATTGGCTTTCCCCAAATGTCAGGTGATTTTGTCCTCCTTCCATTTCTGTGGAAGGAACAACTGGGGCATCATGGGTAGAGCTTCACCGACAGCATCCCACAGAGCTGACTTTGTCCCTGAGACCGGACATCCTCCTCCCAGCCTGCTGCTGTTTGGCCTTGCCAGGCGGCCAGGGAGGTACCCTGGCTCCCCTTGGTCGGCAGTCTTAAGGGTCCCCGAGGTGCTGCCACAGCCTGACTCACCTTCGCCTGTTCCTCGGAGGGAGACTCGTGGCAGACATCCTCTGCTCTTTGTGTCAGGGAATCACAAGGTGCTTCCACCTGTGCTCTCGTCTTCACCAGGTCTGGGGAGAGCAGCAGACACTCACCCGGTGCATGCGTCTGAGTACATGGCCACTCAAGCATCTGCTCTCCCGCTCCCCGGTGGGTTGGGCGCATTGCTGGTGCTCTGTCTCTCTTCCCCACATCTCCAGGTGCGTGTGTCCCACTGCAGGGCTTTGGCTCCAGGCTCACCTCGGATATCCAAGTCCGAGGGTACTCAAGTCCTTTTACAGAGTAGCATGGAATCCGCATGCAACCTGTGCACAGCCCCCACATACTTTACCTCATCCTTAGATTCTTGTACCAGTCCTGTAACACTTAATGCAAATTAAATGCTATGTAAATAGCTGTCATGCTGTATGGTTGGGGGCATAATGACGAGAGAAATACACTCTGTATGCTCAGTGCCAATGCAATTCTTTCCTAACATTTTCAATCTGCAATAGGTTGAATCCGCGTGTGAAAGCCAACTGTGTGTGTGTATGTGTGTCTCAGGTGCACGCCTGTGTGTGCATACCTCAGTTAAACACCTGTCTCCACTGTTACATGCTCAAATGTCAAGTTGGTGAATATAAGCTGCCCTGAGCCCGGGTGACTCCACAGCCACAGCGCCTCCGCTGAGTGCCTGACCCCTGCGGTTCACCAGCAAGGGCCCCAGAGAGGCCCTGCTGTGCGCGGCCAGGGGCGACCTCCTTTGGCTGCTGTGCGAGCACCCTTCCTCAGGAGGGCCAGGAGCCGCATGAGTGGCCTCATCTGCAGTTCGGAAAGGCTCCCTGGGTGATTGTAACTACAGCTGCCCGGTAGGCAGACAGCGGGCCTGGAGTTTGAGTTCCCCTCTAGTCCCCAGATGGGCGTCTTTGGAAATACTGCCTCCACTCTTGGGGGCTCATTTTCCCCGTCAGTGAATAGGGCGACGAGGGTCTCCTCAATTAGAAGGTGATGCGACTTCCCATACAGCCCACCAGGGGGAGCCCTTGGCACCTGTGATGTTGAGCCCCGCTCAAACTTGGGTGTCTCTCCGCTCCTACGTCACTTTCCGTTTTGGTTTTTCTTTGTTTTAAAATAGGGGCTCCCTCAGGAAGACAGAAGCAGAATCTCCAGTGTTGGAACTAGAACAGGTGCACTTTTAAATTGTAGAATAATTATTGTATATATTTATGAGGTACAATGTGACGCTAATAATATGTTCATAATGTGTAATGGTTAAATCAGGGTAATTAACGAATCTATCACCCCACATACTCATCACTTTTTTTTTTTACTGGAAACACTTAAAATATACTTTAGCAACTAAAAAGTATACAATACATTATAATTTATCATAGCTGATAAATTCACCATAATTGTGCAACGTGGTGCTTTTAAAAATGACTTTAAGCCAGGCACGGTGGCACACACCTATGGTCCCAGCACTCGAGAGGCTGAGGCAGGAGGATCGCCATGAGTTTGAGGCTAGTTTGGGCTACATACTGAGTTCAAGGCCAGCCTGAACAACATAGCAAGACCCTGTCTCAAAACAAAACAAAACAAAACAAAAACAACAAAAATGATTTTGCTCCACAGTGTGATAATTCAACATCCCCAGATTTAAAGAACTAAGTAACGGGGTAGGAGGTTTCTTCCTTCCTCCTCGGTGTGGTGGGGCCTCACTACTAGCTGTGCCCCAGTTTGGCTTGGGACCTTCAGGGCCCCTGTTGGATGCGCTGCGGGACTGATGGGAGGGCCCTGTTCAATTCCACTCTGGCCTTGACCCTGGCTGTCCCCCGAGACACACCTCTGCGTGTGTCCTCTAGCCCCATGCTCAGCGTCTGTGGGTGAAGAGCGATACTGGACCCCGGAGCTGCCTTCTGCCCCGAGGCAGAGGACCAGACTCACAGTTTTCATGCCGAATAGGTGAGTGGACAAGTACCACTTCCCAGCATTTGATTTATCCTGGGAGCAACTGTCAACAGCGTGAACCAAAGGAAGACTTGTCAAGGAGGTGCCAGGTTACAACCTGAACTCGAGTGTAGGAGGAGGGGAGGAGACAGCGTCAGGAAGCTTTCTTGATGTGGAGCGGGTGATAAAGGAGACGGAAAGTTCTAGAAAAGCCTCACTTTTCACTGTGCTTCAAAGACCAGCAGTAGCCATGACAGCACCTGGGGCCTTGTCAGAAATCCTGCCACCTGCAGTGACCTGAATGGGACTGAAGGACATTATGTTAAATAAGCCTAGCACAAAAAGATAAATACAGTATCATTGTTCTCACTTGTATCAGCCAGCTTTTCATCACTGACAAAATACCAGAAGCAGGCAATTTATGGAGTGAAGAGAAATTTATTTAGCTTACAGTTTTAGAGGGCCAAAAGCAAGGGTCTCAGTCCAGGCTTAGGGAGGGCCACTTCTTGGCTGTATCGCACCAGGGTTCATAGTAGATGCCAGTGGCAGGAGTGCAAATTGGGAGCAAGAGACAGGGAGTAGAGAGAAGGAGGAGACCAGGCCTCCACCTCTGAAAGGCCCACAGCACCTTCCAATACTGCCACCCCGGAGACCAAGCCTTTACACTGACTTCTGGGGACACTCAGCATCCAACCAGAGCATCATTCGCACATGGAAGCCCAAACGGTAATCTCTCAGTAGAGAGTAGAATGAAGGGAGGTTACCCTAAACTGGGGAGGGCAGGGCAGGGCAGGGCCCTTATCAAGAAATCAAACAATTACAGATGCGGGTGAGGCTGCAGAGAAAAGGAGCCCTTCCACACTGTGGGAATGTAAATAACTACAACCACTATGGACACCAGAACGGAGATTCCTCAGAAAACTAAAACGTGGAATTCTCCTGGACTCAGCTAGTCTCCTTCCAGGTATTTTCCTGAAAGATGCAAAGACATCCTATTACAGTGACCCATGCACACCCATGTTTACAGCAGTGCAATTCATAATAGCTACATCTTGGAAGCAGCCTGTATGCCCATCCACAGATGAATGGGTAAAGAAAATATGGTGTTTACACACCATGGAGTACTCTCTGCCATACAAAGAAAGAAACTTGAGTCATTTGTAGGAGGGATGGGCACACAGAAAGGCACTGAGCACCCCGGGGGCTAGGCTGGGCCCAGAAGGCCCTAGAGGTCTCTGAGCAGAGTCCCGCACAGCGGGCAGCCAGCTCTGACCTGAGGCCTTGCCCTGCGCTGAGCCAGTCCCAAGTCGGCTCACACTGTGGCCCGCCCTGATGCGAGCGCCCATAGCTTCTGCTGTGGCTCACGTTGTGCCAGTCTAATGGAATACCACAGCCTAAGCAATTTAGAATGGACAGGAATTTATTTACCTCACAGCTCTGGACAACGGGAGGTCCGAGGTGAGGGGCTCACGTCTGGCGGGGCTTCTCGAGGCATCATCCCATGAAAACAACACTAATCCACTTGCGGATGTTCTGCCCTCATGACTCAGTCGCCTCTTAGTGATCCACCCTCAACACTTGCAATGGGGCTTGAGCTTCCAACACAGGGACTTTCGGGAGCATACCCAACCCTGGGGCAGCTCACCTGCCTGACTCCTGTGGACTTCCTGGCTCTCGAGCCTCCTGTCCCCTGCGTCAGTGACTGCAGCTCTCCCTGCCCAGACAAGGGCTCGCCTGCACCCTCCTCCTTCCAGCCACCGGTTAGCTGTCGGCAGTCCTGGGCTGCTCTCAACTGGCTTCCGTCTGCCTGGCCCTTAGGGTGTTTTAGGTAATTCCAGTTTGCTTCTCTGAAACCTGGAATGAGGACAGTTTCTCTCTGACCACGTGAACGGCCTTCCCCACTTTGCCCTCTTCAGATCTCCTGGACCAACAGGGGTGGGGCACCTGGCTGGGGCTGATCCGCCCTGACTCTGCCCGAGATGCACCTTTCTCCCGGCACCACAGCCGGATGGGGCGGCTTCCTTAGTCACCCTCTCCCCTCAGCTCCCTCAGATCTTATCTTGAAAGCAGGCAAGGAAAAGTCCTCGCCCTGGAGCCCCGGGGCACCTCTGCCCCCTCCCATCAGTCCTCCCAGCCCACCCCAGTTCTCCGCCAAGGCCGAGGCTGCCAGCTGTCACAGCACCGCCCAGGGCTTCCCAGCTGGGGCTGGTGCAGAGGGACTGGACAGGAGGGGCGACCTACTCCACCCTGGCTCTCTGGCCTCCGGAAAGCCCTGGGGAATTCCAAACTCATCACTGGCCTGGCCGGAGCCCAAGCCGACACACCCTGCCTGCTCGGCACCACCACTGGCTCGCCCACAGGCACCCCTGCCCAGCCTCAGTCCCGCCCCAGCTTCCTCCTCAGAGAATCTCCGAATGACCCCAGGTTCCAGGAACACGGAACTTTATTCATCGGTTCTGTGCTTTGTGGGGAATAAGGCTCGCTGCCAAGTGTCCAGGGCTTGGGTCTGCTCTGAGCCTCTCCTGTCCCCTTAGGCCCAGCTGAGCTCTGAGCAGCATGCTGGGGCCCTCCTGCTCGCTGGATGGGATCAAGCACTTGTCTGAGCCCCTGCCCTGACCTCGGTGTGGCTCAGAAGGGGTTTGAGAACCCTCTAGCGTGCAGCCTAGCTCCCCAGGGAGTGGCTCAGGCCTGAAATCCAGAATTTAGAAGTTTCAGTGGGGTGTTGATCAGCCCCAGGAGCTGCTGCAAATGCTTCTCCTTGCACCCTGGGGAGGGTTAGGGAAGCAAAGTGGGGAGGACCCCACAGATTGGGTCCTGGGTTCTCTAGGGCTCTTAGGTGCTGTGTGGGACACAGGTGTGAGAAGGCCATTGAGGGTGTCGTGTGCCCAGCCAAGCCAGTTGCCCCTAGGCCACTCACTCCTGGACTTGCGTCTCCTCTCCATTCAGCCCCAGAGCCCCTCCGCCAGTGGCATCTTGTGCGCTAGGGTGTATCTCACTGAGAGTCAACAGGTGAGCCTCGTTCTGTGTGGAGGAGTCCAGCCTGCAGCAGCTCCTCTGGGGACCTTGATCCGAGGCACATACTCCGTACTGGTGCCACTCAGGGAGAACTTCCTATGAGACCCACGGGTTGGCTCACATTCGAACAGCACCTGTCATCTTGCAAAGCAGCCTCCTGAAGCTGTCCTCAGCCCGGTCGGGCAGATTAGCAGGATTACCACTCCCATTTTGCAAGTGAGGAAACTGAAGTCATAGAACTTGCTAGTATGATCCAGAACTTACATTGGTTTCACTTAGCATTTTTCAACTTTACACGGAGAGAAGGTGATACACATTCAGAAGAAACCATACTTTTGGTGTTGAACGTGGATCTTTTCCAGGGTTCGTGGCATGCACATGCAACGCTCTCTTGTGGTGCTGGCAGCAACACCAGCAGTGGCAGCATCCGGGTCAGCCAGGGGAACAGCCAACACTCTGTTGCTAAGCTGTGATGCTAAGTGTACATAACACTCTTAGCATTTGTGGTATTTCCAGCTCATGCTGGGTTCATCAGGACATAACCTCAGTGTTACATTGAGGAGCACAGGTTCTTAATTCTCCGGGATGTTAAGGAGCAGACACACCCATTCTCCTGCCTCTTACTCCCTCTTCTGGCTGGGGAAGGTGAGGAGGGTCTTAAGACAAGACAGCTGGTTCGGCCTGGGCCCTACGAAGGCTGAGGCTGAGCCGGGTGCCTAAGGAGGGGTAAACAGAGCAGAGCGCCCCTGCAGCCCAGCGGCACCCTCTGTGACCAGGCTCTGTGCACGGCCGGGCGAGGCAGCCTGGTGCGGGCAGGGACGACACGGGGTGTGCCTGGGGAAGCTGCAGAAGGTGGTACAGATGTGAGTGTGCACGCGACCTTCCTGGGCCTTTGGTGATGCTTTACACTTTCTGCTCACCCCGCATCGCTCGCTCTGAAGGTGGGTTCCCTTAGGGACCTCTCCTGCCCTGCTTTCTGCAGCAAGGGTTCCAACAAGACCTCCTGTCCCAGCCAGGCGCGGGGCCGAGGCTCAAGTCTGCCTCAGAGCATCCCACACTCGGCCAGTTACTGCCCCTGAGGGGGGCAGGGGTTCAACCCAACATGACAGAACACTGTCCAGGGACTTTTGTGGGGACTTTTCTGTGGAATTCTAAAGTGCTGGGGCCTGCCCTGCCGTGACACCAGCCCACAGCATGGCAGAGCCCAGACACAAGTGGTCTGGCAGGGAGATGCACAGGCCTGGGCTTGAAGACAAACCCCAGGCTGAAGTCTGCAGTCTACGCATGGGGTTTCAGGAACCCAAGCAATGGAAGTCTTGTCTGGACCCAGTTTTCCCTGGGTTTCCACCCTGGCCAAGAGGAGTCCAGCGAGGCTTCGAGCTCAGTGCTCTAAGGCCAGAGCACCATGTCCCGATAGAGCAGGGGCATGAGAAGCCATAGGGAAGGTGATACCTGGAGGTGGGGTGGATGCAAGGTGGCCTTGGAGGTGACTTTGCAAGGGGGAAATGGCAGGGAGAGTCAGGGAACTGAGCCAAGAAAATGAAGGAAGTCACGAGGGAGCAGAGGCCCCAAGGAGGGGGCTGACCATGCTCAAGATGCCTACATCTCCCTCACTTAATGCTCAAATCTGCAGCTGGGCAGTGGGCAGTAGAGGGGGCGAGACTGGGAATATGGCACGGAGGTGTTCCTTAATGGACTAGCCTTCTGTGGGGCTGCAGGAGCTGTCCATGCAACAGACATGCAGTCTATGTTGGGGCAGAGCCTTCCAGGCAGAAGGAGGGCAAATTCAGAGGCCTCCAGACTCGGCTATGCCCTTAAGAGTCCTCATCCTCAGCCACAGAAATAGCCCCTTGGCACTTGCAGGCTCCCGCACAGCGCACAGTGCCCTCCCCTCGTGACAGGGATTGAGCTACAGGGCAGAAGACCTTCCCCTCAAGCCAGGAACTGGGTGCTCCTTTCAGCTGAAGTGCAGAGAAGCTGCAAAGTGGCCCACCCTAAACCATTCACCCTGCCCGGCCTGGCTGGTCCCATGGGAACCCTAATGAGGGTTCTGCTGGCGCTTTCCCCTGCTTCCTGTCTCCTGTCCCTGCCGCCAAACAAGGTGCTCCTCACCCGGTGCTGTATGACCCGCTGTGCCCCCTGTGTTGAGGACACGTGAGTTAGTTTGTCTTCCTGTGCCTCTCCTGCGTTTCCCTTTGTGGCCACGCCTGACATCACATGAGACAACACATAACAGCTTTCTCTCGCTTCCTACCAGAAAGCCACCCCCTGCTTTCCCCGTGAGGAAAATTCTTCCTTGTCCATTACGATCCAGCTTGAATGTCACTTTCTCTAGCCTCTTAAAGGGCTCCCTCTCGCTTCTGGGATCCTGAAGTCCAACCCCAGACCTCTGGGACAGAGATGCTCAATGCTTGGTGTTGCCTACGGCCCAGTGCAACCTTCAGGAAGTGCTATGGAAGCCCAAACCAGAGTTCACAGAATGAATCTGATGCAGCCCTATAGACAGGGTTATGACCGTATGTACTGGATACTACTGAACTTACACTTGAAATTTGTTAGATGGCTTTATTATGTATGCTTTACCGTAATAAAGAAAAAGGTTGGGGCAGGGAATGGTGTCACACTCCAGTAATCCCAGCTACTCAGGGGGCTGAGGCAGGGGGATTGCAAGTTTAAAGATCAGCCTGGGCAACTGAACAAGACCTTGTCTCAAAATTTTTTTAAAAAGGAAAGAAGAGAAAAAGTGAGCTGGAGACATAGCTCAGTGCTAGAGTTGTAAGCACCCTTCTGGGTGTGGGTGTGAGGTGTTTCCAGAGATGACTGGGTGGACGGCAGCAAAGTGAGGGGAGGGACCAGCCCTGAATGGGTGGCAGCACCCTATAGGATGGGGTCCGGATGGGGCAGAAGCAGGAGGAGGAGCTGCCAGCAGAGTCTCCAGCTCTTCCCTCTCTGCTTCCTGGCTGCCGTCAGCTGGGCAGCCCATGGTGTTTCTGCCCTGCCTCAGTTGTAAAAGCAATAGAGCCAGCTGACCATGGACTGAAGCCTCTGAAACCTTGAGCCAAAGAATCTTTCCTCCTGCAGACTGATTTTCTCAGGTGTTTTGTCATGGCAACAAGAAGCTAGCTGACACAGGAAGGAACCACCAGGCTTGCTTTATAATAACACACTCTTGTGATAACCAATCCAGTCCTGGTACAGTGAGAACTTAATCCCAGAGGAAAAACATTAATCCCTCTTAATGACTCAATCACTTCTAAAAGGCCCCAACATCTCTCAACAGTGCTATATTGCAGACTGAGACTCGACGTGAGCTCCATAGGACAAAGCATATTTAAACCATAAGACCAGAGGAGGAGTGGCAAAATGATCACCCATAAGCCACAATCAACCTGCACATGGGTTTGCCTGATTTTTTTGTTTTGTTTTTGAGGTAGAGTGGGCAACATAGTTTTTAAAACATTATGCACTAGCACTTAAAACTCAGGAGACATCACGTGCACTCTGAGATGGCTGACTTTTCTCAAAAGAAAACAGCCATTGTCTTCATTCTTCCTGGCATCAGACAACTGAGGATGAGAAGCACTGTTCACAGCACGTCTTATAGACCCACTGCTCTCTGTGCTCATTTCTGAGAGCCGATGTCAGCTGTAGTGTGATCACAAAATGTGGCGAATATTTAAAATTTTTAAATTTTATTACAGTAAAAGAAATATTGCCATTGACTCCCCTTAAAGCAGTCCCCCTTGCTTTATCTCATCATCTTGCCACTGTCTTCGGCAGCTCTGGAAGTCCTCTTTCGTGCGTGTCTTTTGTTGCACTATCATGGCTGCCTTGATGCCCCGAATTGAAGAAAAATGTTTACCTTTTGTCTTAGTCACTTCCTCACTGCTGGAACAAAATACATACCCAACACCCACAACTTAAAGGAGGACAGGTTT